ACCTGCGGGCCACACTTCCCCTGATCCAGCCCAGGATACGGTTCACAAAAACTGCCCGTGCCCTCGTAAAAGCACCGGTGTGACCGCAAAGCCACGCAGCAGCCCCTTCTGGGTCACATCCCCCAGGGGCCAACCTGACCTTGTTTGTCATTTGCCCCGTGAAACCTCACCCTTAGCCTGGACGGGTTGGTTTAAGCCATAGCTCGGGTGACCCCCAGGAACACTCTCCTGGGCAAACAGCGCTGGCTTCACCCCGTTTCTAAAGCGCCGCCTGCCAAACCCCGTTTTCCTTCAGCCTCCCCTGCAGCCCCCAAGGCACCGCGCACCCCGGATAGGAGGCGCTGCTGGGGATGGAATTAAACGCCAACAACGTTTGGGGGAGGATTTATTTCAAAACCGGGGGACACACCCCAAATAAAGAGCCTCGCTGCCGTTCTGTGGTCAGGTGCTGCTATCTGGTGGCCAAGCGCCGGCAGAGACCGTGAGGAATCATAGAATCACACAGACTGGTTTGGGTTGGAAGGGACCTCAAAGATCATCCAGTTCCAACCCCCTGCCATGGGCAGGGACACCTTCCACTAGACCAGGTTGCTCCAAGCCTCATCCAGCCTGGCCTTGAAGACATCCAGGGATGAAAGACATCCAGGAATGAGCCAATGGTGTCCCCATTATTATTAGGAAATGATAACCGCATCCCGGTGATGCAAAAGGACGGTGCAGTGGGGAGGGACAGACAACATGAGGACACAGGGGGACAGTCCTGCCTACCCAAGTCGCTCTCCTGTGCGAGCGTCACCCGCTGTGCTGGTTTTGGCTGGGGTAGAGTTAAATTTTTCACAATAGCTGGCACGGGTTTGTGTTTTGGATTTGTGCTGGAAACAGTTGATAACACAGGGATGTTTTGGTTACTGCTGAGCAGTGCTGACACAGAGTCGAGGACTTATCACCCCACCAGCGAGTGGGCTGGGGGGGCACAAGGAGCTGGGAGGGGACACAGCCGGGACAGCTGCCCCCAGCTGACCAACGGGACATTCCAGACCATATGGCATCAAGCTGGGGAAGATGAACAGAGGGGCAGATTGTTTGGAGTTAGTGTTCACCTTTCCCAGTAACCACTAGGCACGATGGAGCCCTGCTCTCCTGGGGATAGCTGAGCACCCACCTGCCCACGGGAAGTGGTGAATGAATTCCTTGTTTTGCTTCCCTTGTGTGCTCAGCTCTTGCTTTACCTATTAAACTGTCTTTGTCCCAACGCACGCCTCACCCTTCCAACTGAGCTGCCAGCAGGAGTTCAACCACCACACCCCCCTGGCAGGCGAAGGGCAGGCAGAGGATTCACCTTTCTGAACCAGGCTGCATCTGGCTGGGGTCAGCCTCCAGCCGTGTTCCTTCCCGCCTGCGCATATCACCTGCCAGGAGGCAGAAAGGGAACCCGGGGTGCTGGTCGGCAGCAGGCTCCGACGCCCCAGCAGCTGAGGGCAAACCGCATCCTGGGGCGCATCCAGCAGCCCGAGAGGACACTGTCCTCCTGCATTCAGCACCGACTCCCTGATGGATGCAGTTCTGGGCCCCGCTGCTTAAAACACACGTGAAGGCCCCCCCGAGTGTGTCTGGGCAGCAGATCCAGAATGCTGGTAGGGAAGGACTGCCCCGCTGGAATTACATGCGAAGCTGTTCAGGGCTCAGCTGCTCGCTGGCCAGCACTTCACCCGTGTTGCTGCTGGCAGCCCTGGAACTCCCTCCACCCACAAGCTCCAAGTCAAGCTGTCAGTTTTTTCCCTTTAAACAGCATGAGGGGTTTTCCCTCTTATTTCCCACTTTTTTCTCCCACACTGAGAAGTTACTCAGGAGAAACAAGTGTTTTAACCCAAGTACCCAGATAAATGGCTCAGCCAGCACTAGTAGGGTGCCTGGAACCAAAGGGAAGGGCCACAAAACCACGTGGATGAAGCTGCTGTGGCTCCAGGCCAGAGCTGTTTTAAGAGCTCTGACAATTCCACGTGGATTTTTAGGGCCCTGTGAGAGGGTGATGTGTCCCCACCAGCCTCATCCTCCCAGGATTGTTCCAGATGTCTCTCCAAGGCCCCTTAACCCAGAGCCCACACACACCCCTGTGGCTCACACACAGCTACGTGTTCTCTTCTCCCTTTACTGCTACTTTCACACAGAAGAAAACACAGAACCATTATGATGCCCATTAAATAGTTTTTATTCCTTAGGACATGAATTGCATTTCCACTGGTTTACAGTACTGTAAAGTGCAATGGTATTCATCTCCCCTCCTGCACACATGTTCAAGTATTTAAAATGCCCAGAAAAGTGTGGTTGGTTTTTTTTAAACTTTTTTTTTTATTTTTACAGCAGCTCAGTTACGGAGTTTTACTCTGGCAAAATACACCCAGACACGTCTGGATCCTTCAACCTCCCCCCCCTCAAAGCTGGGGGTCCTCCGATGCTGGCTACTAGTGGAATGCATCACCCCATGTCTTTAGTCCACCTCCTCGATGGTTGGTCCAGAAGAAGCTCCACCAGAAGGAGGAGCTCCGCCACCCGGGAACCCGCCAGGCATCCCACCAGGCATCCCTCCGGCGCTCTGGTACAGCTTGGTGATGATGGGGTTGCACACCTTCTCCAGCTCCTTCTGCTGATGCTCAAACTCCTCCTTCTCGGCCGTCTGCAAGGGACAAAAGCTCAGTACCGGCTGGTCTTTCCCTCATCGCTCATCCCTCATCCCTCCTTCAACACCAACTGGCAGGAGCTGGCTAAGGCACTCCAACAGCCTTTACTCCCAGCCTGTTTTCCCCTCTAGACTAGGGCATTTCTGGTCTAGCTCCAACAAAACCAACCGGCTTTAGGACTCCCTCAACCCACTCCTACAGCTTACACTGCTCCTGGAGCAACAGGCCCTCATTCCAGGTTAGAGGGGATCCTACTTCCAAGCTAGCCAGCCTGGATTACCAGGAACCCAGAGCTCACAGGCTGCGGTCGCTCAGACATCCAAGGAAGGTACTTGGGCCAACACAAGTCTTTCAACTTCTGGTGGAAACTACGAATGGCTTTGGAATCACTTTCATCACAGCAACCAACAGCCCTCTCCATCCTCCCGAGCGTTCCCTGCCGTCGAGACACTGAACACTGACCAAACAGAGCGTGACATACCTGGTTCTTGTCCAGCCAGTTGATGATTTCATTGCATTTGTCCAGGATTTTCTGCTTGTCCTCATCGGAGATCTTGCCCTGGAGCTTCTCATCTTCAACGGTCGCTTTCATGTTGAACGCGTAAGACTCCAGAGAGTTCTTAGAAGACACTTTATCACGCTGCTTCTCGTCTTCTGCTTTGTATTTCTCTGCCTCCTGCACCACCCGCTCGATGTCCTCCTTGCTCAGCCGGCCTGCACAACAGAGTCACATTTCCCATCACCACTTTCTCACACATTACACCCCCTCGCTCGATGTCCTCCTTGCTCAGCCGACCTGCGCAACACAGCCACGTTTCCCATCACGACTTTCTCGCCAGTTCTTTTTCACACATTACACCCCCCGTTTCAGCCTACGCCGCGGGGCAGGCAGCCAGGAAGAGAGGTGCCCTCATCTTAAACCCCTCCGCGGGCCGCCTCAGCCCCAGTGGGTTACTGCGCTAGGGAGGAGGCTCGTGGTTGTCCCTCGGGGCACACGCACTACAGCCAAATTCCAATAGACAAGCCAGGGCCCAACCAGTCTTCCGCCCTCAGACACACGGGATCCTTACCCTTGTCGTTGGTTATCGTGATCTTGTTCTCCTTGCCAGTGCTCTTGTCCACAGCAGACACGTTCAGGATGCCATTGGCATCAATGTCGAAGGTTACTTCGATCTGAGGTACGCCTCTGGGAGCAGGGGGAATGCCCGTCAGCTCAAACTTGCCCAGCAAGTTGTTGTCCTTAGTCATGGCACGTTCTCCTTCATATACCTAGTGAAGAAGCAGCAAAATTAAGCCTTAATTTCAACCACACACTATGAAGTCATCACGGCTATTATCTCCATGTGATGTGGTCGCTCAGACATCCAAGGAAGGTACTTGGGCCAACACAAGTCTTTCGACTTCTGGTGGAAACTACGAATGGCTTTGGAATCACTTTCATCACAGCAACCAGGTGTTCACCAGCACCCCTTGCTAAGGGTAGATCTGCCTTTACTTCAAGCATCGAGCACCACGAGTGCCGACAGCGTGGTGCCCGCAGGGTCTTACGATGACGTAAGCGTTACGGGCTCACCCCGGTGCCGCCTGCCTACCTGGATCAGCACACCAGGCTGGTTGTCGGAGTAAGTGGTGAATGTCTGCGTCTGCTTGGTGGGGATGGTAGTATTCCGTTTGATCAGCACCGTCATGACACCTCCAGCAGTCTCAATGCCAAGGGACAGAGGAGTCACATCCAGCAGCAGCAGATCCTGCACGTTCTCTGACTTGTCTCCGGACAGAATAGCAGCCTGGACAGCTGGGGGAAGAGGAAACACACCATTAGGAGCCCTGCAACCGACACACTATACCCTGCAGAGGCAAGGCCACAGCTCGCTCAGACATCCAAGGAAGGTTTTGGCCATCATCAGTAGACTTCTGGTGGAAACTACGAATGGCTTTGGAACCTGATTCATCATTGCAAGTCTGAAGTTACACTTTTTGATCCAGAATTTAGACCTAGGGCCTACACCAGTACTGCTCTGAAGCTTCAGTTCAGACAAGTACCAAGATTCCCAGCATCACCACCCAGTTCTAGCACATGAAAGACGTGCAACTGTCCTTACCTGCACCATAAGCCACAGCTTCATCAGGATTGATGCTCTTGTTCAGCTCTTTGCCATTGAAGAAATCCTGCAGCAGTTTCTGAATCTTTGGGATACGAGTAGACCCACCAACCAGCACGATATCGTGGATCTGCGATTTGTCGAGTTTGGCATCCCGCAGGGCCTTTTCCACAGGATCCAGGGTGCCACGGAAGAGGTCGGCATTCAGCTCTTCGAAGCGAGCTCTGGTGATGGAGGTGTAGAAGTCAATACCCTCATAGAGAGAGTCAATTTCGATACTGGCCTGCGTACTGGACGACAGAGTACGCTTTGCTCGCTCGCAGGCGGTGTTCTTTTGTTCTCGCTGATGTCCTTCTTGTGCTTGCGCTTGAACTCGGCGATGAAGTGGTTGACCATGCGGTTGTCAAAGTCTTCTCCACCCAAGTGAGTGTCACCTGCGGTGGATTTCACCTCAAAGATGCCATCTTCAATAGTCAGAATCGACACATCAAAGGTGCCACCTCCAAGGTCGAAGATAAGGACATTCCTTTCAGCACCAACCTGGAGGAAGATATTAGTTTTCATAATGCAATTCCATTTTCTGCTGCTTGTTTAGCAGGTTTACTGGGAGGACACCGGAGACACTGGTCACCCCATAGCGTACCTTTTTGTCCAGACCATAGGCTATGGCAGCAGCTGTCGGCTCATTGATGATTCGCAGCACATTGAGCCCCGCAATGGTTCCAGCATCCTTTGTTGCCTGACGCTGGGAGTCATTGAAATAGGCTGGTACAGTCACTACAGCATTAGTAACAGTCTGTAAAAAGAAAAAGCAAGCAGAAGTAATCAGCTGTGTTTGTTACCTACTCATACACAGGAGTCTTTCTTACATTTCACTGAACTCCTAAACCTCACCTTCCCAAGATATGCTTCTGCAATTTCCTTCATTTTGGTTAAAACCATGGAAGAAATTTCTTCTGGGTAGAAACTCTTTGTCTCGCCTTTGTACTCAACCTGGACTTTTGGCCTGCCAGCATCGTTCACCACAGTGAAAGGCCAGTGCTTCATATCAGACTGGACAACAGAATCATCAAATCTACGCCCAATCAATCGTTTTGCATCTGGAAAAGAGTAGTTGACCGGATTAAATATTTTTATTCACAAGAGGAAACATCAACTTCTTCCTAATAAATGATACGTGATACTTAACATCAGAATTATTACTGCCTTGTCAAGGCCTAGCTGCAGGCACCACTAGGTTTTACTTCTTGAATACACACAAACTCAACATTATCAGCTCACAGCTGCTCTATGTATCGTAAACCACAGCGCAGTCTAGGAATTAAGACTCACACTTAGTCAAGGCCACGTAACACTAACTGCCAAGACCATCCTGCAGCAAACCAAGATTTTAACCGTAAGACATATACTTTCCCTGTACATATTAAAAACTTTGTTATTAGTCACGCAGCCAGATTGTTCATAATAAAACAGGCAAAGAGTTTTCATTTCCAAGAGGAAATTAAGCTGTATATACATCCTGAAGCCATACCAAAAACTGTGTTCGTTGGATTCATCGCAACTTGGTTCTTTGCAGCATCGCCGATCAACCTCTCTGTATCTGTGAAGGCAACGTAGCTTGGCGTGGTCCGGTTACCCTGGTCGTTGGCAATGATTTCCACCTTCCCATGTTGGAATACACCAACACAGGAATAGGTGGTGCCAAGATCAATTCCGACAGCTGGTCCCTTCGACATCTTGTCTGAGAAAAAGAAAAAAAAAAAAAGAATATAAGTGTAAAATGGAATGTAAATTGAAGTGTTTCGCTGCTGTTGTCCCACGTTTCACCAGCAGCCGCTCCTTAGCGCAGACTTGGTGCCATTTAGAAGCTCTACTGGTTGGTGTCCGGCCCAGCCACGTGGTCCAGGCGCCGGCGCGGGACTCCATCTCCCATCACCCCCCTCCCCGCTCCATCACGTGCTAGGGGCGGACCCCTTGGGCGCTGGGAAATGCAGTCGCCGCTCGGCGGGGGCCGAGCTTGGCATCCCATGTGGCCTGGCACAGCCCCAGCCCTGCTGCGACAC